ACACACCGCTTGCATTTATACATGGTGAGAGCACAGAATCCCTTCTCAGTCGTACGACGTGTCTATGCATCGACAAGCGCTAACGGAACCAGCAAGGTTGCAAAATACTGGTACCTCGCTCTGAGATAGTTGCGGCAGACCTAGCGCAAGCTCCTTCCTTGGACCGCATTCATCACTACTACCAAGCAAGGCAAACCCCCGTGCACACGGCTTGTCCAAGGTAGAGCCTTGGCTTGACACTGCGCTCCGAGCCCGCAGTTAGATATTAACTGCAGGATAATGAACCAGCCCAACCTGTTTTGACAATGTCAACAATCGCCTCAGACGGACATGTCACTGACGCAAACATCAACGCACATGCGGTAACCATCGCTCACCCTCCTCCAACCCCCATAACCCTCGGATGCCTTACCCTGCAACCCCCTTGACCCTGCATTATAGTACACACTTCTAAAAATATCCCAACACCCTCATCTACCTCCCACACCGTCATCCTACTGCACCTTGCCCTATCTCTTCTGTCCTAACGCTACCTTAGCCTACCTAAGTCGCCCCTTCTCGTGCTGGTAATTGGTCCAGCAGATGTAGAAGGCCACCTAGATGCACAGCGGATCCCTACCATCTCTCTCTAAACTCTCGCCTCTTAATCTCGCATAGGCTACTAGAGTCGCCCCTACTCAACTGGTAATAGGTCCAAGTGATGTAATAGGTCACGCTAGGATTATAGCCCATCATTCCCTCTGATGAGCCGTTTGGCGCAAATGGCGAAAAACGCTTAAGGGATGCGTCACCCTCCTTTTTCGAATCTGGAAATCGGTCCTGTCGAAGAAGTGTCATCTTCTCCTAACCCCTTCTCCTCTTCCTGCCCCCACCTTTTCCTCCCTTCCCCTCCCCCCTTTTTTTCTTCGCCCCCCATGTATGTTTAGTGGTAAATGGCAATGTGAAAATAGGAAATGGTTGGCTATGGCTGTAGGTGTACGAAGGTGACCCATGCAATGAAATAGCAGGAAACTATGCTCAATCGTGACAATGGTATGCTATTATTTTCAATATTATTCCTGGCTAAGCCAGGTTGTTAAATTGCTTTGCAATTTATCACATAAAACACACACATGCGCCCACACACACACACACACACACACACATACACACACACATCCACACATGCGCACTCTCTCTCTCTCTCTCTCTCTCTCTCCCTCAAACACACACACACACACTCAATCAATCAATCAATCAATCAATCAAATCAATCAATCAATCAATCAACCAAACCAATCAAGATCCTATTTATTCGATAGGATCTTGATTGGTTTGGTTGATTGATTGATTGATTGATTGATTGATTGATTTGATTGATTGATTGATTGAGTGATTGACAGATTGATTGATTGATTGATTTGACTGATTGATTTGATTGATTGATTGATTGATTGATTGATTGATTGATTGATTGATTGATTGATTGATTGATTGATTGATTGATTG